TTATTATGAACTAATTTATTTTATTAGGGCTAGATGTAACCTAATTAATTTAGTATAAATTTTGTGATTTTTATACTTTCAATTAAATTTATTTGTTTGATGAGTTTATATTATTGAATTTAATGCATTGAAATCCTAGTTACCTTTTAATTGATTTAGTGATTTATGCATCAACTTGAGAAAGAATTGCATAGATTAAACCAACAATAATATAAACGTTAGACTATGAGATCGAAAAATAATACTGAAAAGTAATACTGAGAAGTAATTAATGTCACATATGATAGTGGAGGAAGAGAAGAGAGTTTGGAGCTCCCCCTTCTTAAGTTAAAGATTTTCATAGAATTTAATGTTCACCTATTTATTTAAAATGACATAAAAATATGATTAATTTGACAAGTAAGGGAAGGATTAATAGGATTTGAGAAAACTAATTAATTAATTAAGAAAATTAACCATCACATACAATAATACTTAACAAATTGGTTTTGCAAGCATATTAATCTAGAATTTATATTGATTGATTATGATGAAATCAATGTTTTAGTACTTCATATTTAATTAGTTTTATTTTAATAGTTATTTTTTTATTATTTTAATTAAAATTTATTCCTTTTCGATTGTTCAAATAAATATAGATTAATTACTTTGGTACTTAGTTAATCACAATCCTCATGGGTGACACTCTTCTTATCACTATATTATTGGGAGCAATTAGTATATTTGTTAAAGTGATTTTAGCACATCAAGTTTTTGACACTGTTGCCAAGGATTGTTGATTTAGTTAATATTGAAGTTTGTTAATTTTAGATTTAATTTAAATGTTTTCTTTTCTTTTATTTCTTTACTTTGATTTTTTTCGTTTCTTTTGTTTTTATTTTTGTTGGTCTACCATGGATCAAGTTGTCATAAACATTTATGTGAATTATTAATATCTTATTCTAGAGTTAAGGGCACAAATTAAAACAATAACTATCAATTGGGAAGTAGAACTTAATGATGATGAACTTGAACGATTTCAAGCAGTTATTGAAAAGTACAAATTAAAGAAGGCTATAATAAAACAATTTAATATTACTTGTTGATGTGTGAATTAGAGCATTTTAGTTCTGATTGTTATTTTAAACCATCTAACAAACATGATAATTTTTCTTGTGTTTTTATAGCCAGCAGTGTAATTCTTATTCCAATACATACAACTTTAATTGGATAAATTATCCAAACTCCTCATGAAATAATGAAGATATATTGGAGCTAAAATCAAGGTTTCAAGCTCAAGAAGAGGCATTTGAATAAAAATCTAGAAGTTCAATCAAGTTATTTGCTCAACTTAGTTGCTGAAGAAATACAAAGTGAGTTACTTAGTGCAACAATGAAAAATCAAGAAGAAGAGGTAAACACTAAACCTTTGAGATTAATGGACAACTTGGAGAAGTGGAAAGCATACCTATAAAAACTAAATATGAGGATGTCCCTAAGGAAGAATAGGAAAAAGCTCAAGTATGTCATCTGAAATGTTCAATGGGATGGGAAGTCTTTATTAACC